TATATATATATATATATATATATATATATATATATATATAGGCCCTATATTGATTAAAATACAAATGGGTAAATATTATTATATATTCATAAATCTCTTGCAGACATTTTTTCCATTACTTCATCAGGTGGATGTGTCCATTAGAGAGGTTAAATATAATGATTGAGAAGCAGATAGTGAACAATTGCATTATAGGTAATAGAAAATTAGCTTGTTTTGATGTAGGCCTACATCAAAATTGTGTGGGACTGTCCCAATAGCTGGCTACGGCATTGCCCTTGAGGACCAGAGCTCTTGAGGAGGGGAAGATCCTGAAATCTAAGACGTTTTAAATTTTCACGAGCCGTATTTTGAATGTATGAACATTTTAGGATTAGAATTTAGATACTGATTCACCTTTACAGAAAATTCATCGTAGAAGTGCTTCTTACTTCTAACCATATGCATAGTAATTGAATTATAACTAATCTAAATAACAATCATTTGCAATGCAAAACAATTAATTTATGATGAAATCAACATAAATGCAATTAAAACAATAAAAGTTGTATATGTTCCAGCTATTGTTTCATGATTTGGGTGGAATGTTAATGACCAAATAGGCCTATTCTTTTTTTTTTTTTTTAAATATTGAGCTTTCTATTTCATGGACAAGATAGAGTAGCATGAATAGAGTATGGTGTAGGCTGTAGGGTATTTATTAGAATCCAATATGAAAATACACAAAACAAGAAATTCTCATGGTTAATGGTCAAAATTGACACATGCACAGGCCTACCATACCGATATCCATTCTAAAAAAATGAAAGGAAAATATTCTGGTTTGACATGCCCAGAAAATACCACTGTCCTAGTCCCCAGGGTTGACCTGGTTAACCAAATATACTTTCCTTCTACTAAAAGTGTCCCCACGATACAAAACCGACTTGTCTGTTATTTGTCATGGACTCCATTGTTATTATTTCCAATAATTGGAAGCTAAAATAACTATGAACCTACAAAAATAAACAATTCAAATTTTGATTAGGTAGTTATTAAGCTGTAGCACAAACTGAAACATATATAAATAAACTACACATTGCATAGAGAAACGCACCCCTTTATTTTGCCAGGGAGCAGTTATATTATCTGATAATAATTATAGAGTTTATTCAAACAATCATCCTTCCTAAAGATACCGCGATGGGATTGTTCATCCGTTCCCCGTCCTCTATACTTCCTTAATATAAGCCTCTTTATTAAGAAGATTAAATGTGACACACCTTTTATGTTGAATAAATCTGTATAAAAGGTCGACGAGTATCTAAAACAATCACACACACTTCATCAGTTACTCAAGTATATGTTGTGGAGATGTACACTAGCCGGAATACCAGCACTTTGGGTCTACGCTTAGCATGTGGACTGGTTCTCCTCGTAATTGCTGCTGCTTCTGCGAAGAAAAACTGGGCAAGAAGTAAGGCATTATTATCGTAATGCGATTTGATTTTTGTAAATAAATAATAATCTTAGTTTATTTCATATTTATTCCATGGCATATAATTAAAAATGTACTGTACTATTTGTCAAAAAGACAGGAAAATATCAGAACAATTGTACTTGAATGCTATTTTTATAGGCCATAAATTCATGATTATTAAACATTCAGATAATTGCATCTGTTTCTGTAAGTATTATAATGGTTCTTTCCTCTCTTGCCACAACGCGCACTGTTGTAAGACATAATTTTTTTCTGACGCTATTTCTCTCAAAAGCTAAGACTGTTGCCTTTTCACATGCGTTCATTCGTCGTTCTGTTTCTCTTTAGAACTTATTGCCTTCATTCCGTTTTCCTTCTGTTTATCAATCTTACCACCAATTTAAATCTCTCGTGAATCGGTTTCTTATAAATTATTAACATCTACAGCTTTGTTTGGGGTAATTGTCAATAATAATAATAATAATAACAATAATAATAATAATAATAATAATAATAATAAACAAATATGAAATAAACTAGGGGCAACTGAAGGTGTGGTGTGTGGCAGTGCTTAAAAGAACATGGCGTATTGGAGTGGTGAATAATGTGATAGACAAAATGAAGTTAGAATAGTAATAGATGCACAATGTTCGGATCTGCCAAATAAGTATCCAGTGACCAGGAAAATAATGATGCCAGCGCCTTGTATAATCGCTTGTAAAATCTGCGGATTGTGAAAGGCGCTATATAGATTATGGTTCTATATGTATAAAAAAGTAAGATATCTTAAAATTAAAATGTATTATTTGGGATTTGCCATGTAATAGCGAAGAAAAAAAAAACCCCCAAATAATTTCACTACACTTATTGAGACTCGAAATTTAATTTGTGTGTGATCAGTACACTTTCTGGCCATGAAGGAAATACTCGTCATAGATTAAGTTTTTTTTTCACAAACTCGATCACAAACTACATAATATTTGTCACGGCGGCTCATGGTTTGCACCGCGGGTTAGCAGAAAAGGGCCAAATGCTGCGGCGTCCCTGCCTTAACCGCTCAGCTATCCGACCATTAAGTACAAAAATATGTAAAGAATTATGTGCATATGAGCATGATTGTTGTAAAAGGCGTTTAACAACAAGAGAAAAAAAAAACAAAAAACAAAAAAACAAATGCAAATGTACCAAATGTACTAGTTAGACAGTGATTGACGGACATGCATTAAAGCAGAAAAACATGAAATGACATCGTAAGCAATGGGTATCAAATTTATGGAAATACCAGCGCAGAAAGTAGAAGAATATTAATATAATTTTATATATCACTGATGGAGGTGTTATTCCATAAGTTATGTGATATAATAAAGTCTTAAGCCATGTTCCATATCGTTTCTTTTTTTTTTCTCATCAGATTGTTTTTACTATGAAACTTCAATTAACTACGAATACCAATATAAACTACCACGCATTCCCAACAAAGCCAGACGCATAGAATTTTCTGTTACAGCGAAAAATGATGTACACATCGCTTTGTCGGCACAAAATGCGGACATCAATCAGATGTACGAAATCGTGATCGGGGGATGGGCTAACACCAGATCCGTCGTCAGACGATGCAAACAGTGTACGAACCTCGTTTCAGTTACACGCAAATCTGGTTTCGTAAATCCAAATGAGTTTCGTAGTTTCTGGATCGAGTTCGATGGTGGTGATATTGCCGTAGGATTCAACGGAGAGTCCGCGTTTATGCGGTATCGCGATCCTAGCCCGCTAAACGTTAACTACGTGGGGTTCAGCACTGGATGGCTTAGTAGAGGCAACTTTCGATTCTGTGATTTAGGTGAGTAAAGTATGACTTTCAACATTTAGAATCTGTTAGAAAATAAAAAAGAATAATTGATTTCTTGGATTATTGTTTTTGATTTTCTAACATTTAGAATCTGAACTACTTATTTACATAGCTTATCAAAACAATTCATTTCATCTATTTTTTTGTTTGTTTTGAAAATATCTCGATTTATTTTTTATGGAAGGTTAAGGACAAACTTTGATGTCACAATTTGTGATGAGCTAAAAAACCATCAATAAATACAATTTAATGTTTCAATTGTTGTACGTTTTAGTAGTTTTCAATATATTATAATAACGAGGAATAATCATTATTAATTTTAGGGATTAAATTTTAAATTGCTTATATATTCTACATACTGACCTTAAATTTTAGAGTTTCTTTAAATAAGTAAAGGCCTAAATAAAACAATTATTTTTTTTTAAAGGGATGAGATTGTTTGTCTATATTTCAAAACATTTTAGAACTGAGACTGCAGTCAAAGTAAGCAGAATTTGAAGTTTAATTTATGTTTAATAGATGTATATTTGTATTTCATAGCGTTTTGCCTGTTTTTTAAGAAACGTTATATTTACTACTATTTTATTCCTCCAGATTGCAAAAATCATGAAACAAATCTCCAGTATAGATATCGTTATAATCTACCACGTTTACCAAAATGTGCCACTCGTTTCGAGTTCTCCGTCAGGGCATCAAATGACGTACACATCGCACTGTCGGCAGATGATGAAGACCTCGACTCGATGTACGAAATCGTCATAGGTGGTTGGGGCGACACCAAATCCGTCATTAGACGATGCAAACAGTGTGCAAACCTTGTTTCGTATGATCGAAGTTCCGGGTTTTTGGATCAAAATGAGTATCGGCGTTTCTGGATCCAGTTTGTTGATGGTGAAATTGCGGTGGGATATATTGGAGAGGTCGCTTTCATGACGTATCAGGATCCGAACCCGCTTGACATCAGCTACGTGGGTTACAGCACAGGCTGGGGTAGTAGTGGAAGCTTCCAATTCTGTGACATAGGTGGGTAAATGGAAAGTGTATTTCGCTAAGCCTGGTTTATTAATTTGGGTACAATAATATGCAACTTCTAGTGCAGCGGTCCCAATATTTTCTTGACGGTCCGGGAAGGGGATGGAGTACATACGTCTTGACTGGCGATGAGCATGGTCTTGAGCTAAGTGTACTTTGTGGTTGTTATATCCAATGGAAAGCAGATTTTAGACGGCTGGTGAGGAGGCCCTCCACTGGAAAGAATTTGATTTATAGATATTAGGAAATGTGCTTAACGTTTTTTTGTTGTTGTTGTTCTGAAAGGCTATCTTTAGCGATTTTTAAATTTCCTATAACGGTTGCCATAAAGCATTGTTTCCATATAATCACTACAAGCTATCGCCGATAGCTTTCGGTGATGTTGATTGGTCGGTCGAGTCGTGGAGCCTTCCCGATTGCGTCGGGGACTGCTACGCAGTAAACTGATTGCACTGAAAACACTGTAGCGACAGTGTAGCGATTTTAAGAAAACCAGGCTACGCTCACACCAAGCCCTGTTATCGGGTACGGTTACGATTCCCGCTCGTTGCGTTCACTATTCGCGTCCAGTGCACGAATGAGACAATCAAGTTGAACAACATCTGCATAGTCATCGACGACGATGATGTCTACGACGTTCTTTTGTCGGACGTTGTTGAAAAAATTAAAAAAAGTGAGAAAAAAAGAGTGAGTCGATGCCCTATATAAATAAACTTAGGAAGACCCACAGTCAAAAATAAATTTTAGTAAATGTGGATAAATTTAATAATTTCTAGATAGGCCCTTTATCAACCATGCACCTATTATACCCATCCATTTGTTTTTTGAAAAAAAAATCGTAGGAACCCAAAACTTGAAATAATTGTCAATCGAAGAAATTAATTAACATCCAAAAATTAATAAACATCAAAAAATAAGCCACAAATTTTAGCAAATATGAATACATTTCATAATTTCGTGAGATAGGCCCTGTATTGACATGCACATGATATCCATGAACTGTCACTAGCAATTTTTATTCTTTGAAAAAAAAGATCGTAGAGTGACCCAAAAACTTAAAATAATTATCGATCGAAGGCGTTTGCTGCTCTGAATCAATACGTTAATTCAGTTAACATTTTTTTTATGCTGTCAATGAAAACACTGTTCTCAGTAGCGTAGGTATGGGCAGTGGATGCAATGCAAAGCACTGCACGTGCTTGGTGCTATAGGGGCCCGTTAAATAATAGGCCTCTAAAGTCAAAAAATTATATAAAAAAAAGTTTCCTTAATTTTAATATAAATTTAAACAGCCAGTGTGCCTCTCAATAAAGGATTTAGAGGCGATACGGTCACTATTGATTATTGTGTTCATTTCAGTTACCGGTACGTATTCTTTTATTTATTTCTAACTGAAAAACACAAACCCGTAGGCCTACATTATAAATCTTTTAAAATCCAATCAAGTACGGCTCGTCTCGTAACACACTCAAGCACAATTTAAACTTGCGTTTATGTATAGGGACATCCATTTTCATAAGCTGCTGTCTTTGAGAACGTGATCATATATGCACTTCATTAATGTATTCTCACCATTTTTTACCCTCTCAATAAAACCATAGATGGATTTCTAATGAATTCGTCAAAACTGGAAAGACAGTTGGAAACAAACATTTCGCTGGCACTCTATGATCCGGGTTTGCTCAACAATAACCGCACCGCATTGTTGTACACACTTTAAGTGAATTAAACGATTTACATTCGTATTTGCACCATAATATTTACACAGTAAAAATTAATACGATACTGTAGACATTAAACAAAGCACATTAATTGTACGATTACGAAAACGAGACTTCAGGATATTTCGCCTAATACACAACGATCTATATTGACGAGCAATATCTTCATTATCGTTTAGGTTAGAATTATTAGTAGAAATTGTTTATGGGGTGGCTGTGTTTTTGTTATTTTAAAAAAATCAAAATAAGTTAAATATCACTCACTGCTTGACCTTTCCTTATAACACATTAAATTTAACATTATTACAAGCCTAGACATCTGAAAAACATCCAACAGTTTTTTTGACAATTGAGTATCATCACAGGTGTTTACTATTTTGCAATCTCTTCCCTCACATTATACCGTACTTTGTTGGTATCCTTATATTTTATTTGCACCATATGTTGTAAAGAACGTTGTTATTTTCAACTGCATTTATGAGGAGTTCAATCTTGTCATATTGTCATCTTGTTTTAAAATACGGTTCATTCATAATTTTGGCTGTGTTTAGGCTTCGCCAATGGACTACTCTGGCCCATGCCAATGTAGGCTACCCTAAGCTGTGATTATAATCACCATTCCTCGAAAGTAAAAAATACTGAACATCAGATCAAGGTCAATCGTGCTGACAGTTAATTGGTCAGAAATAATGTAAAAACTGGTCTGTATCACGGTACAAGCTTTCCGATCCACTCCGAATCCGGGTCCGGATCCCGTTACGGACAGAAGTGAACGACTCTTGTAGGTTACCACTGTACCATGTTCTAGGATTTCCGGGCCGCACCCCGGTTCAGGTTTGGTGTAAACGTAGCTTAATTCTTAGGCCATGCTGCAAGTAAATAATTTCTCTTAGATTGCAGGAAATGGGTTCCCTGCCACTGTAAGTAGTCCTTTTTACAACAAAAAATGTTTTACAACTTAATTTTCAGGAGTAATATAGTGTGTTTTTAAACGTGGACTATCCATTTTTGTAATTAATTACATTAATAAAATACACCACTTAATCGATCAATATACAGCTGTAGTAATGAATGAGAAATTAAATGTGTCTTCTTGCCTTATAACAAACATTATAACAAACTACAAGCCATACGTACGTGAAATGAATTACAAAGTATCAGTGAATAAAAATAACTTCCCCTTTACAAATTTCTTTTCAGATTGTACCTACTCTTCAACAGATCTTCAGTATAAATATCGATACAATCTACCACGTGTTCCAAATACCGTCGGTCGATTTGAGTTCTCCGTCAAAGCATCAAACGACGTACACATTGCACTGTCGGCACAACGTAGAGACCTCAATGCTATGTACGAAATCGTCATTGGAGGATGGAGCGACACCAAATCAGTCATCAGACGATGCAAACAATGTGGGAACCTAGCTTCGCATGATCGAAGGTCCGGGTTCCTAGAAGCAGATGAGTACCGACATTTCTGGATCGAGTTCGTCGATGGTTTAATTTCTGTGGGATATTTTGGAGAGGTAGCTTTTATGATGTATCAGGATCCTAAACCGCTTAATGTAAACTATGTAGGTTATAGCACCGGCTGGGGTAGTAATGGCCGCTTCCGGTTTTGTGACATAGGTGGGTAAAAAATGCAAAGCCTTCTTCTAGTTTGAACTGCGCATGCCTGTATCTAAGGTCAATCTACATAAACATATGTTGTGTGTATGTTTGTTTATATCGATTGACATTGATACGAGCATGCGCAGTATAAAACTACGAATCGGCCTAATGTTTTATACTACGGACACATTACATGGGAATTCAATTATCATAGCACAGTCAGTGCGTAACGTAACGCCTATGCGCTCTCATGCGGCGCGGTGGTCCGCAGGGCCCCGAATTCTAAGGGCCCCGAAGGTCCCTAACCATAGGTACCTCGATCTAGCACCCTGACCAAAAAGGACTTTATTGATAAATAACACCATAATGTGTCTCTGAAATCGATTGTATGGCATATGTCATATTATAACGATTAAAGAGTTGGGGCCCGTCGGCCCGACGGGTGCCACCCCCCCCGGCCCGGCACCCAACCAAATTTGTCAAAATAAAAAAAAAAATTAAAATGGAGATAAAAAGAGTGGGGGGGGGGGCTGCCGGCCGGGGCCCACTAAATTTGGGCTAAACTAAATCTGGAGATAAAAAGAAAATTTAATATTCAAAATTTTATGTCTGTGAAGTGCCATTTCCGGCCATCTAAAGGTGCCATATTCATTAATTTTCTTACCTCAGCCCCAACCATGGTGGGTCTGAGGCGGTATAGACTCTCTAACTGTGAAAGTCCCTCACGGGCCTAAATTTTCTGGATCCATATTACATAATTTATTCGTCGTTAAAAACATTTAGAATAACAATGCACATCTAAAATTCCACGATGGAATTGGTGATCGGACCCAAAAAGGGCCTCCAGTTTCAGAAATACACAGGGCCCCCGGCCTCATCGATACGCCACTGCACACAGTTGATAGTACCAGGGTAAATACCTATCATAAATGTTTCCCGTTACATTTTCCAGGTTGTCTCCACTCTGTAACAGACGACCAGTATAGGTATCGGTACAACCTACCCCGTGTACCGGACGACGTCACTCGATTTGAATTCTCCGTCAGGGCATCAAATGACGTACACATCGCACTGTCCTCACAAAATAGAGACCTCAATTCGATGTACGAAATTGTCATAGGCGGATGGGGCAACACCAGATCCGTCATTAGACGATGCAAACAATGCACAAACCGTGTTTCGTATCGAAGTTCTGATTTTCTGGACTTGCACGAGTATCGGCATTTCTGGATCCAGTTTGATGATGGTGTCATTTCTGTGGGATATGTCGGAAAGGCCGCTTTTATGACGTATACGGATCCTAGCCCGTTTGAAATCAACTTTGTTGGTTATAGCACAGGCTGGGGTAGCAATGGCAGCTTTTTGTTTTGCGATAATATTTGGCTTGGCTTGTTTTAAATTATCAAATAATTTCAATCATAAATTAGGTTACATTTTCTCACAAATGTGTATTGTAAACACAGTCGTTAACATTAGTTTTAAATAGATAGTTGGCGTTACTTTATTTTCTTCTCTCAATACTTTATAATCATATTACAGTTAGCCTATATTTCAAAATGTTCTTAATAATGTATCCAACCCGTTGTGTTCTGATCTACGGTTTCATAGTTTATTTCATAAGAATATTATTTGAATAAAATTGACAATATTCATAAAAATGATAATACAAATTGTGTCTGTATACTTGCGTCAAACACCACATCCTGTTCTTTACTTGGACATAGCGCTTAGAGACCTTGTTTATTTGCGCATTATAAATCAGCCTATTATTATTATTATTAATATTATTATTATTATTATTATTATTATTAATAATAATAATATTAATAATATTAATTAACAATAATAATGTTGTTGTTGAGAATGTTTTTGAGGGACGTTTGTTTGAAGGAGATAGGACTAGAACTTTATCATCAATTTTAACTTACAGCATACGGTATACGAGACATACTATACACAATTTAAATAATAAGCAATTTCAACAAATAAAAATGAAATACAAATTATGAAAGTAAATTTATCAATAAAACCTATTCCACATGTACCTAATCATTAGGCCTTTTCCATTCATTATTTAGGCACGTGGGCCAACAATTGTGAATGACAAACTTAATGTATAGTAAGTTACAATACTTTTTCACAAGACAAACATACACAGATGCTCTCATATTTTAAGGTGTTTATGAAGTGGAGTAGTTTTTTTTTTGTTTTTTTTTTGTCGTGAAAGATATTTTCTTTGGCTACAGAATTGAACCTAGAATCTTGCTTAACTTCCAAGATACAGATCCCCAATTTAATTTTTAATTACTCAAATTACACAAGATATTATTTATACGTCAATAATTACACCATTAGATTTACCTGATTTGTTTACTTTTGCATTTTTTCCTAAAACAAACGCACATTATCCATTCAATAAACCACCAGACAATTCCACGAAAAACACACGTAGGGCCTACGGTACATTTTGATAAAATACAATTAATTTATTTAACCAATATATAATAGCTAATTATTTTAATGTTATGATGAAAATCGTTGCTTTACACAAAATGTTATACAATGTGGACTGTTTCCTATTCCATTTTTGTTTCCATTTCCTGGCCGTGGGTTTTGCAACTGTCCTAAAAATAGCGCCCACTATTATATACAGTCATAGGAAAATAATTATGCGACCCCGGGTGTCTCTACGCAAAACAGTGAAATAAGTCACTTCGTTTTTTTTGTGGAACATAAATAAAATTACGGTAAGAAAAGTGAAAAGTATTATTGTACACATACTGTACACAGAACTAACGGCTTAAACGTCTCATCCGGAAGAAACTAATAAAATTGACATTTCAGCACTCAAGCTGGAAAACAAAGAAAGGGAATTGTACCGAGGACCAAGAGATCTCCATAGTTTAGAATAGTGAATTAAATGTTAGCTACCACCAGTTCCTGACTGAGCTAAGCTACTGCCGGTTCGTAAACTTGGCAAATAGTTATACCATGGAGGTATAAAAATAGTGGTTATACTATGTTTCCTAAAAATCTATAGCCTTCCTGATAAAATACGAATTCATAATCAATCAAGACAGTCTCTAAAAAAGTGTTTCAAATATTATTTTGTTTAATTCAGAATTTTCTTTTCCTTTTCTTTCTGTTTTATCTTACCATTATGAGAGCTTATCTATTTATTTATGGTTTTCTCTTCCTTTAAAATACAGTAATGTACTAGTCATCTTAGATCGGACACTGCAAGCTTGCGATTTCCAAATCATTAAATGTATAACAATAATAGACAGGTCTGTGCCATGATACTATTATGAAATCGATCAATCTCCTTTAGTCCAACATAATATTCCTACGTAATATACAGATAACTCATTATTTTTCTATTAAAGGCACAATAATTTTCTTTCGCATATTGTGGTGATCTAGAGAATGTTTTTGTTCGGTGAAAAAGAGCTCCCCCACCCCCACTGGTGGGGAGGAAAATCCTAAATTTTTAAGGAAAGAAACATCTATTTAATTTCAACAGTTTGTAGCACTCTAAAATCGACTAAATACGCCTAGAAGTGTTCCTCTTGTACAGGCAGGCCCCGACCTACTGTTAACCACACCCTGTATTTTATAATACTGTAGGCTTAAAATGGATCTTGGTAATTTGAACGGTACCCCCACCACGCTATATTGTGACTGAGTAGGGATTTTAATTCGGGTATCTTGAGGGTGGGATCTGGTGGGCTTAAGCGTTTTTGAAAGAGTTTGATCAATTGAAACGAAATAAGACGAGATTGTTTTTAGGCATTAATCGATGTATTTGTTGTTTGTTTATTGAAATCTCCATTCCTTGTTAAGACGATTTATCTTAAAATTTAAATTCCACATATTAATTGCTTAATTTGTGTACAGTATTTGTAAGCTATTAACTTAAATAATAATAATTAAAAAAAAAATTAGTAGGCCTAATAAAAACAAAATTCCTCGTCAATTTTCGGACAATTAAATAATAGCTTTCCTCTATTCTTTTGCATAGATCTTTAAATTGACCGCTAATCAATTTAAGGATTTTTGTAGTAAAATGTCTGTAAATTATTAGTGAAAAACACCTTCTTTCGATCTGTTTCTTGTTGCAAGGTAATAATGTTTTTGATCCTTTCAATTGAGCCTGTCTTTTTGCATGATACATCTGTTTTTATCTACATTTTTCATTTTAAAAAACTCTTTCCTCTTTTACCTTTATGTATTCAACTAGGCTTATTCTTAGTTATATTCCTTATATATATATATATATATAACGTTATTACGTTATTATGAACCTTGTTATTATTATTATTAGGCATTAGCATTATTTTTTATCATATTATATTATAATAAATAATATTATTATTACTAATAATATAATAATAATAATAATAATAATAATAATAATAATAATAATAATAATAATAATAATAATAATAATAATATGTAAAATATTCTGTACTAATTGTTTTTATATATTATAAACATTACTTTCGATGTTTTCTATTGTTGTTACTTTTAATTTATAATCATGTTGATCTACTATGTAGTAACAATCTGTATTACTACCATTCGTCAGCATATCTCAATGATACAATAACTGTGGGTTATAAAATTATATTATATATTACATTACCTCAAGATTCGGTACAGTGTAGCAGGAGGGGAAAATCTGAAACATCCATGTACATGTTGCATAAATCTTTATTGAATTAGACCTCACCCACTTAAAGAATGGGATCTCCCATTGCTAAGCAACGTATCAACAAAAGAAGCAGCTGGGCTACCGACTGCAGACTTCATAATGAATGACTAAAGTATGGTGCTATAAAACGAGTTACCAGTAGGCCTATATGAACCTTGAATTCGTAAAATATGGCAACAACCGCCTCATTCTATGATCCTGATGGTAAGATATACATTTTCTGGTATCGATGTTGAGGAAATTATAATTGTGTAGGCCAGGCCACAGGCCTGAATCAAAATCCAAGAAGGTACAGTAGGCCTAGATACGATCTAACGGAGGGAAAACACTAATACAGGTACCTATTATCTCTAATTACAGGCATCCTCTGCGATCGAAAACTTATTTCTATCTCTACAATGATCGGCCAGCAATATCCACAGCTAGGAAGGCAGTTAGGTCTTTCGGAGAGCCAGATTGCCGACGTTAAAGCTAAGTTTCCGGATAATATGCAGCATCAGATATTCCATATGCTTGCATTGTGGAGGGAACAACATCGTACCGATGCAACTATGACCAGCCTCTTAAACTCAGTAAAACGTCTTGGCTGGATTTCAGTTTACACACAGATCATAAATACACCTGATAATTTCTACGTGGTATTGTGACCTATGCTACAGGAGTGAGGCAGACAATTTAATCATAATATCATAATCTGCTTTCCTGCATTCTCACGTATCATACATAGACGCATTGTGACGGGCTTGATTGGTTGAGACCAAAGGAGGTACTACTATTCATGTAAACGTGGTATTGTGACCTATGCTACAATGGACTGAGGCAGACAATTTAATCATAATATCATAATCTGCTTTCCTGCATTCTCACGTATCATACATAGACGCATTGTGACGGGCTTGATTGGTTGAGACCAAAGCAGGTACTACTATCCATGGTAACTACCTCAAGTCAGAGATGGTAACGTCAGGGGGTCGGGGCCCTGTCGGGCAATGGATGGACCCCCAGCCATCTGACCCAACGACGAGGTCATTTACTGATCCAATGAATGAGAAACAGATTTTTGAATATTTAAAAACTGGGTTTAAAAGTGGGGAAGGAGTGGTTACGCCCCATTTTCCCCCAGTTTTTAAATATTAAAAAATCTGTACAGGTATCTCATTAACCGCTTCCGAGTTTTTCGTTAAATATGTTTTTTGTGTCTTAAAAAAAATCAGTTCAATAATATAAACAAAAATGTTTTTGTTCCGGAGCCTGGTTCCCGTCAATAAACTCAATTACTGTAGTTTAAAATGTACAATAGATTAAGATAACCCTTATATTTTCATTGATGAATCCACTTTCCCTTCTTAGCTATCGGCTGCTGAATAATAAGCATGTCAATTGAAATGGTTGTGAAAAATTAAAAAAAATACACATACAGTTGATAATGTAGCAATTATACCCATACCATGGGTATAATTCCTGACTACTGCCACTTATGAACGAAGATGTAACTGGTTCTTTCGTATGGTAATTTTATACTATATAACTGTGAACCCATGCACATGCAAATGTTTGCATAATTGATTTTTTTTTACAAGAACAATAAAACATTTTATTTACAATAAACTTGACTGACATTTTATTATCTATTCAGGAAGTTTTACGTTTAGCAAACTAATGCATTTCAACAATATCATGTGTGTGATAAAGGACTTAATCAATACAACTTGGTTAATGTATGGCGGGCGTTGGAGTAGGCATTACTGTTTTTGAAATACATATTTAAACTGAGAAGTCATTCACAAAACTTCCATGCGCCTAAAGCATGCACATTATATTTAAAAAGTACCCATCCAAGCAGTCTCCTTTGCCTACTTCACCTCCATCAGCACCTTTCAGGTAAGACTTCTGGAGATAAACCAATGTGTTTGCGTATTTTTTTTACCCTGTCGCTTCTTTTTTTTGTTTTACCTTAGCAACAATATCCAAGGGGCGGGGCTTAGAAAAAAAAATCTATTTCAACCAGTTCCCCATCTGGAATAACCAATTTCTCTCAATCACAGTGTATAACCCCATTCTCAGGACCACCCAGAAAAACATCCGTTTCAACCATCGAAATTAACTCCGCCCTCTCCACCACTCGGTAACCCTGTCAAATCTTTTTCACAATCGAGTATATCCTCATGGTCTACTCTTCGGAATATCCTCATTCCATGCACAATTGTGAATTACCCCATTCTCAGTATTATCGAAAATAACCCCATTCTTTCCACCATCGAGAATAATCAGATAGGCCTCCTAATCCTCGGGAATAACGACATCCCTTCTACCACCTGGTGTTGCATATTTTTCTCCAGTTACGGATGCAGAGTACATTACATGTTGTGCGTATACTGTATGTAAACGTTTAGCAATCTTTACGGACATAAATTGTTAAACAACAATAAAAACTATTACAGAGCAGAATTAGGGTTTAGCTTATCGGCTTCACATAGTGGGGGTAGCCACTCTCAGGTTGATGACTATGTACACGAGGTAAGTTGTTATTACGAAATCGGAGTGTCTGCGCCCGCCGCCAAAACTCCGACTTTGGTGGTTTTGCGTTTCTCTCTCTACATAGGCCCATAGAGAGAGCTTGTTTATTTTATAGTACGCAGGTTTGGATAAAAGTTTGAAAACTCCGATTTTTTAGTTTTCTAATTTTTTAATTTTTGGCGGCGGGCGCAGACACTCCAAAAATCGATTAACTACATACAAAAAAGGCCTGGTCCGACGACGCTCAAAATCTCTAGAAAGTGTTGTAGGGGAAAAATATGACAATTTAGGGGTTTCAAAGGCTTATTTAATCAATTTTGGAATCTACTAATATGTAGAAAATACATAGGCCTATACAAAATTTTCTCCCTGAAAAATTGTGGTTTTTCTCCCCGACGTGGGGGGAGGAAGGGGTGCAGGAAGCAGGAAGCTCTCCCCCCGGGGAGGGGGGCGCCCCCCCCCGTTGGCGCCACTCTTGCCGTGAACCCCATTTATCCATTTATTGCTTCTTTCCATGATACTGTACCGTAATTCTGCATTCACTCCTCTGATGGTTACAAATCGATACTTTAACGACGTTTGGTAATTTGTAAGTAACAAATAGTGCACCTATTCGATGTCCGATAACTTATATGACTCTATACATTTTAAATAGCTCTACATTTGATATTTTGTAAGCAAGAAGTCAATCCTATTTAGTATATCTGATAACTTTGGTAGTAGGCTTAGCACTCCTTTAACCGAGTTCATGTCAAGATCGTTTTGAAAGTGTTTTGAATAATCCACTACACTTGCGTGCTCCAATCTTGAAAGATCATGGTCCAGGTCAACTAAGGTGGACCAGGTATTTAATAGTACCTCCAACTCCCCTCTGCTCCGCGCCTGTGTAACGTTCTCGAGCTCTTGTGGTAATGCCTTAAGTTTCATAAAAATATCCATTTTAACTTGCTGCCGTAAGATGCGAAAGTTTTGGACGTTCATTAGGAATGATTCGAGAATGATGACCCAGCTGTTTTTGTCGCCATGTTCAAGCCGACAAGATGCTAGTCCACTCTGAACCATACGCAGAGAGGTGATACGTTGCGAATCATGTGGTTTGATACTTCTTAACGCTTGGATAAAATACTTGGTAGACTTTGTGAACTTGTTCATTGCGATAAGACTTGGACTGAGTTGACTTTGGTAATGCAGTTGAAGTCGTCCAATCAGTTGAATAAACTTGGCATATTTTTCACCTTGAAGATGAATAATTTAATAATGTACCTTAAGAATATAACAGAATAATGTCTTTACAATTAAATGAATAGAATATTAACGCAAGTCAAAAACAATAATTGTTATGCTTCCAAAGGATAGTGACAATGATCATCGTCTGTTATCATCAGACCATCTTCGTCATGATCGTCACCATTATGATGATGATGATGACGGCAGTCATCATCGTCATCACCATTGTCATTATCATCGCCACCATCATCACCACCATTATAATAGTCATCATCATCATTACCATTATCACCACCATCACAACCGCCGATACCATGATGATGATAATGAAGACAATGATTGTGGTTATGGTGTTACTTGTTACTATTGGTAATGATGATGATAATTAGGATGATGGTAATTATAATGATGATGATAATGATAATGACGATGATGGTGGTGGTGATGACGATTATGTTGCTGATGAAATTGGTGACCATGTAAAGGATGAGGGTGATGATGACGATGATAATAATGATTATGATGACCATGATTATGATAATGATCATCATCATCATCACCTTCTTGGTCATCTTCATTGCTCCATCATCGCCATTATCATCATAAGTATCATCATCACCACGATCATCATCACCGTTATCATCATGATTATTATTAAAATCATGATTATCATTATCATAATCACCATCGTCATCATCATTACCCCCATCATCTATATGGTCTCCAACTTCATTAGCAATATTATCACCACCATCATAGTAATTATCCTCAACATCATCATTATAATCATGATCATCATCTTAATTATCATCGTCATCATCATCATCACCATCATCATAACCGTCATCATCATCGTCACCACCACCACCACGATCGTCATCATCATCATTATCACTACCTGATTATTACAAATAGTCATGGTGTAAGAGTCTAGAAATGGGAAGTTGGGAAAGGTGACGTGGGGATTTATTATTAAGTGAGGGGCGCTAGGTCGCAAATTAAGGTAATATCAGGTGATTTTTAACTACTTGAGCATGATTTGTTTGCTTCTGACATTTTCACTGGCGGGGAGGTGTTTGGGTGTGGGCGGGGGAAAACTCTTTATGCGCATCTCTTGACACGCCACTTTCATCATTATTATATTATAATACCTACTATTATATCATTATACCATACTAGGGATTCTCATGTTACGCGTCTTCCCTGTTTCAGACTTGATTTATAAGTACAATTTCAAACATAGGTCTTATATATCTCCACTAGAATTATTAACAGATAAAATACCCCCAATTAATCAAGGCTCAATTATTTTCTTTGTATACCGTATAATCTGGGGTATGTTTATGGCATCTGTAACTTTTTAGTACTTCAATTAAGATAAATACGATACTAACCTTTACTTGATTTTTGCTGGGGAGATTCTTTTGAAGACTTTTGGCGCTCTTGTTTTCTCAGTAACGTAACATCCATCTTTATATGCAATTTCAGTTCATATTGAATCATATTCTTCAAGTCTTATATTTATCAAAGCCAAGATGCCATGTTTTAATGATTCCATTTAGGCTAGTGTATAAATCTTGCATGTCTACATCAAAACAGCAATATTCGACATAGCTATAGAAATACAGGTCTTATAGCTTGTTTCCAACGTTGTGTTACTTCAGTGAATCAATGTAACATTCTGTACTTGCATGACTGCATCACTGCGGGTATTACCGGAAGATATTAGTTCTGGAAATTCGATTATTACTAACCTACATCACATTCCAAATTACTGTTGTATTTACAGATGTACCATTTAATTAATAGATATATCCTCTACTTCCGTGCGTATCGTAGCAACTTTGATACCACCAAGTGTGTGTGTATGAATGGTACAATTCATCCTATGCGACTGTAAATATAATCAATCTGCGTCGACATAATGGGCCTATGCATCCATTCCTAATATTAAACAAACTCCAGAATGACCAAGAAAAGCCATACTGTTGATATAAACGCTGTAGTTCCATAGTGTGTTCTACTTGCGAACAAATTGAAAATCACATTTCGAACTGTACCGTTAATGATAACAATGATAGCTGTATTTGATCAGGCAAAATAGACCAAAGAGAAAACACACACAAAGTACAGAACAAACTCTTCTTGCTCCCATCGGTCAATAAAGTTTAGTTAAACGGAACAATCGTGTTTTGAGACTAGTCGCGATGTTTACACATCAACTCAATAATGTTCCTAATCGCTATCTCTGAGCATAGATGTATCATCACCATGCTCTGAGCAAAGCTTACCACGTTAGCACGTGGCTCATTATTGAAGATGGCATCCGTAAAGAGAACGTGTCTGTATAATACATAAAAAAAATAACCGACTTAAATAATTGAACGGCCGGAAGAAATGATAATAATGACATCGTTTCTATACCTTCTTCCGACAGTTTTTTTCGGTGCAAGCAGCTGGTAATTTGCTTCATTTAGTCTCTGTGACGTACGTTGCATGACGTGTGCTATACAGGTAGTTCTGAAGAATAAAGCCAGTACAGAAACTAAGCCATAATAGGCTTATGGCCAAATGATGCCCTAAATTGTGTATACTAATCATCAAAAGTGCACCTGTATCTAGATCTACAAACATATTATTTACTGAAAACGATTTTTGAATAACATCTATCCTACTTCAATAATGTTATATTATGGGCGAGCATACAGTAAAAAGGGGTCACCGGGACCAAAGTAATTTTTTTTTTATAATACTGAGGACCACATCCAAACTTTCCAGAAAGACTTCCATATACTGTTTTTATACCTCTTTACTTTTAACAGATGATCAGTGTCGGACCGTGAAAAACAGTGTTTTCTTGTAAAAGATGGTAGGTGGGACACACATTATATTATATGGTTGTCGCGGGCTACAAACATTGCCATTTGGCCGGCCGCATCTGGCACACGGGCCGCACTTTGCCCATGTGATAGCTCTTTATAAGTATGATGACAGTGAAATTTATAAAAAGTATATACCAACATAAAAGCACGTGCGTGAATACCTTCATACCAAGTAACTGCATAATGATAGTATATCAATAATGATAGTAAAATAATAATAACAGTAAAATAACAGAATAGTGGAACCGCTAAACCAGGGAACAGTTAAATTAAATTGTAATTTAACTGTTCCCTGGCTAAACGAACTATGGAGCCGTATGGAAGTCACCGATACAAACAAACTAAAAGTATGTATTAAATCACATTATGGTAACAAATCTTTTTTGTGCGAGGCGCCACTCATCTGGAATAACCTTCCAGTGCACATTCGATCTTCACCGTCTGTGGCTGTCTTTAGGTCTAACTTAAAGACCTCTTTTAACTAATTATCCCATTTTTATTCTTATTTTATTTATTGTTGCATTATTTATTTATGATTCCAAACTTTGCCGCTGCTTCTTTTGGTTTGTTTACTTGTTCTGTGCTTGGGTTAGGCAATGATCACGGCTGCTTGTGGGTTGTGAGGTGCCTAAATATGTGGGGTGCAGCGCTTCGTATCTGCAAATAAAGGCGCTTTACAAATGTTCTGATTGGGTTGGATTGGATGCTAAAATATTATGTTATAAAATAAAACAAAAATTGAAGTGTTTGACGCACCTTTGCATCAAGGGTGGCGCAAGTGGGGGGATGGGGGAAGGCCCACCCCGTTGGGGAAAGCTGACCCTCCCCCCGTCAATTTGCAGGGGATAAAACAAAATTAGGCCTATATATGTATTTTTGACATAGTAGGCTCTAAAATCGATTAAATGAGTCTCTTAATCCCCTTGTCATATTTTCTTTGAGATCTTCTCATGGATCCTTTCAAAGAGAAGGGGCGCCGACCACGCTCCCACTTACAGTACACGCTCACTTACGCTTTCTTCGGGGTGCCTGTCGGGCAAATCCTGGCGCCACCTCTACATTGCTTCAAACGATTATACCTGTAACGTTTATATCCGTATTATCATGATCTCTGGCAAAATTTGATAGAATCCAAATGAACGATCAGTTGTGTACACAGTCCTACGTCTGTATCCGAGATTTAGGTTAATTGTAATAAAGCCTGAACCCAGTGGGAGAAGAGATTCAAACCCCCGCCATTGATATTAGACCTGCAGGTAGCGCTGCCCCAGCCCTACCGCTAAATTACTTAACTCACGTGAGGTTACAGCACCCCGTCAGTCTTACAGCACCCCGTCAGTCTGAAGGCGGTTTCCCGTCTAAGTAGTAAATTCGGTGATAATACTATGGTCTAACGAGAAACCAGGCCCGTATACAGAGTATGCAGAGGGTTTGGACGCACCCCCTAATTTCAAAAAGGTCCAATTTCTTTAAACCTTACTATTTACACTAAAATCATTTATTGATCATTGCATGCATCAGTATTTCATTTGCCAGCTCTTTTAATGATAATAATAATAATAATAATAATAATAATAATAATAATAATAATATGTCGTTCTTACATAGCGCTTAATGCCTTTACAAAGCCTCTAAGTGCTTCGCATTACTACCCCGGACATTGGATCAAACACATATGGAACACAATGAACACCAAATTAAATTATTAAATTAAATTATTATTATTCCATAATATTGCGGCTAGTAATCAGCGCAGTTGTGTTGGGACCTACCAGGTACCCACTTGTACTCCTGGGTGGAGAGAGGCAACCGTAGATAAAGTGCCTTTCCCAAGGACACAAGTGATTTGCACAGCGAGAGTTTCGAACCCCCGACCTCGAGGTTGGGAGTCCAAACAACCGATGCGCCAACCGCTTCTACCGTTTATTACTAATAACTATACACAATTTGATGGAAATGTATCTGCTCCGGTGACTGCAGATTGATCCATAGTAACAAAAAGCTATAATGTAGGCGGCATACATTGGAATGGACATAAAACTTTACTTTTCAGGTCCCTAACAACACCCAAGTGAATAGAAATTTAAATAAAATTTTCAAGAATTATGGCTTTCAGAAACCCAATAATTACAGCCTCAAAATGTTACTTTGTCTGAGCTTCTCGGCCTCGGGGACCCTAAAGGGCCCCAGCCTAAGGCGTGCTTCGCTTGCAAGCGCACCCCCTCCCACATCGAAAATCCTGCCTGTTTGCAAACAACGTATGAATAAAACTTGTATATGTTTTTAAAATTCAAATCGGTAAGCCTGCATATTATTAAGCACATACAACTATTCGAGGCACATTACCACTCATCATGCTACTAAAAACCGTCGGCTCACAGCAAACTCTATTTTTTTGCGAGAACATTTTAAAAATTGGGGACTTTTAGATGCCAGAAAATGGCACTTTAAGATATAAAAGCCTAGAAAATTATATCGTAGGTTTTCAATAGGAGAACCACGATTTACATAATGCATACGGCAGCTAAATACATATGTTTATTTACTGCTGCTACAGTTTTTGCTTCATCGATAGTATTGAGAGACAAGAACGCACTTCCCTTTTTTTTTCTCTCTCTTTCTTCTCTTTTCATCTTTGCACTTTTTTTCTCCCTCTTTTTATATTTCGAGGGGACTGACGTTGTGATGTGAATAGAGAGACGTGTGGACTCTTTGTAAAAATATCCACCATTCTCCAATCAAAACAAGTCACGGTTTTGTCACTAACCAAAAACAATTTTTTTCTCTCCAAACCTCATAGTTGTTGAGCATCTAATTTTCCTAAAAAAAAAAAATGTTTGCTGTTTATGCTTTTGGTAAGCCCATTTTCATAAAAGCGCTTCACGCTACTACCGACAACTTTTGTCCAGTCTGATTAGTAGGCGAATTGGGAAGACCCGGAAACAAATATGCAGTGTCTTGTACTAAAAATATTATAGCGATAGTAAATTGTGATTTTAAGAAAAATACGGGCGCTGTGTCACAGCGGTGCGCCAGAAATTTGTCAACGAGGGGTCCGACGTGTCCGACGGAGGTCTGAGCCAATGGGCCGACAAAGCGTTGGTCGACGGCCCGGAATTAAAAAAAAATCCCTGGTAAGGGTTCACGGGGAGAGTTTTAATGGCTTACTTTATTATGGTCCAATGTGCTTTTAGACCACAATATTAAGGATTGGCAATCAAAATAAGGTTATTTGGATAAGAAAATTATAATCTTTTTAATTTGTTAAACCAACGACCTTGTCCTTCGTCGGACCCTTGAGTAAAATAAGACTATCAAATGACTTGTCAGTCTGGTACATTTTTAGAATTTACTATAAATTAACTATACTGTATATTTGAATTATCCGAATTAAAATTATAATAAATTTATTTGTATTAGTAAAAAAAAATATACATTTCAGAAAATATTAAGAAAAACCTGCAAATAGCAATTAAGCATTATTTTAAAATATGAATAACCAAATAGAAAAAAGTGGTAAAACGACAGAAAAGAAATCAAACAAGAATGATAACCTATACAAGTCTCGTTGGGACTTATTTCCTAAGGAATAAACAAAATTAATGAACAAGAAGACAAAGTACTGTAAAGTACATTTTTATTTTTACAATATTGTATAATAATTGTGTATAACCAATTTTTATAGTGACTGCAACATTGTGAACATTTTATAGGTTGCTAGAAGGTACTTATAAAACAATCTGCGAATTTTATTGTAAAGCCATCTGAAATACTTTATACGTCACTGACATAATGTTATCAATATGTACTAATTTCAAATCATGTTTGTATCATTTTAGTTGATCGTAGACCAGTGAAAATACTACGTCAACAGACACCAGCATTACACTGGAAATTACCCACTGCAAACGACTGGACTACTAGTTCTTCAGGTAAAGGATACGATATTTTGACAACGAACAATCAATCACATAATATTGATGACGCTGGTTATATCACAATTTATCAACAAGAAGTGGATACAAAACCAAATGCTGTTATTATCGTGACCAATAAGAGATCAGGATCTTCATTTTTTGGAGAGTTGTTTAACCAGAATCCAAATGTATTTTATGTATTAGAACCTCTGAAGTATTTTACAGAAATGGCGTCGACGCATAAAATTCCTGCCTACAATACATTTAATTTTGTTATCACTTAAAAATCTCAAATGTTCAACTTGTGATCTCTACGATATTCCTGTCTTTAATACTTGGTGGAAAACGAGCAAATGTTTTTTTTTTCTGTAGAGCACATTGGTCAAGTCTATGTAAAGACAATAAACCGAGGAAAATATCAATAAAAAATTTGTAGTATGTCTAAATTAGTTGCTATAAAAACTATTAGGTTATCTGATATCGCCTTTTTACGCGAATTTGTTGAAAAGTACAACATGAATGTGAAAGTGTACGGGGTCCCCAAAAGGCACAAAAGTTCCGCTGGTGTGGCCTGCCTAGTACTACAGCGGAAAATTTGCAAGGCAACAAGTAGAACTCGATTAGGCCAAAAAAGTGCACATTATAACCTATAATATGCCTAATCGTAAGACAAATAACTCATTTTTTTTTTATCCCAAATGCTTATATAAACACTAATTTGAAATAAATACAGTGTATTATTTTTCTTCCTTACTGGTATTGTTCACATGCTGGCTCTAATGTGCCCTCGCACTCGTACGGCGATCGTTTCTTTTCACTAATCGAATTCGCCGAAAATGCGATTTTTTTTTCAATACATGAATGGTTCAATAATTAACTACGAAGTTCTTTATTTAATAAAAGTGGGATGCCCACACAAGACAAACAAAAACGTACAGTAAATCTTTACATTCATTCCTTTATTTCGGAAATGTATATAGAATAGCTTTAAAACATACAATTAAAAAAGACCAACGAAAGAAGATAACATAATTGTCAATAGAAATACAGACGTCTTAATTTTCTTCTTAAACTAAACGTAAAACTCGGTTAATGAGATAAAAAAACAGTTAATGAGATATATTTTTGAATAGAGATTGAAATACAGCAACAGCAACATCATTCTTCGTACAATACAGAACATATAGCAGACAGTACTGGGGAAATGTCAAAGCAACAGCCTAATGTGAATTACATGGGTTTTAAATGTTATGATTTTTAAAATACATTAAATGACGCCGACATTATTATAATTTTTAATTACTTTCATAATTCTGTGTAATCTTTTCAATAATACAACACATCCAACTGTAATAAGAAAAGATTACAAACATTTTTTTGTTATTCTTTTGATGGAACGTTTAAAACTTCATTTAATATTATATAATATAATAAAAATGATAAAAACCAGTTAATGAGATATATTTTTGAATAGAGATTGAAATATACAGCCGTACAATACATAACATATAGCAGACAGTACTGGGGAAATGTCAAAGTAACAGCCTAATGTGTATTACATGGGTTTTAAATGTTATGATTTTAAAATACATTAAATGACGCCGACGTTATTATAAGTTTTAATTACTTTCATAATTTTGTGTAATCTTTTCAATAATAACAATAACACATGTAACTGTAATAATTAGAAAAGATTACAAACATTTTTTTGTTCTTCTTTTGATGGAATGTTTTAAACTTTATTTAATATTATATAATATAATAAATGAAACAATGTGTAACAAGAAATTAAATTACGGGGGAACAAAGTATTATCTTAATTAAAATATACTACGATTATTTCGTCAAATCATGATACAAAATCAGGAACTCAATTGTGCTAAAAGGACATTAAAATACATCACGAAACGCTACAAACACCTTTCGCGGCCTCCACCGCTCCTAGCGCCTGTCTCGGGGCCTTTGGCGCCTTGGTTTTTCCACTGATACTTTGTAGTTCCGCATTTACAATTTTCGCATCCCCCCCACCCCCAAACGATAGGAACGTCCTTACGGCCATGTATTAGAAATTGTCAATAAAACACATACCGATCTAATTTCAACTTGTTTTTCTAATATCGACTGCTGCTTTCTATTTAGGTAAAACGTATATCATGATTAATAATATTATTGTATTGTTACTATAATTATTATCATCAATTTGATTACTACTGATTTGAAAATTCGTTACGAGTAAGACTAAATTTTCACTTACTTTGCTATGCTTCGAACCGATGTCATCGGATCTTCGTCTTCCTTGTCGCCAGGTGGTGTTTGACGACGTGCGCC